AAGTTGGAACCTAGCTAGGCCAGCCCCCTTTCTGGGTCCTGCCTAGTGAGGGGTGACTTGTTCTTGCCAGACTACAGTGTGGGACCCCGTCCCCCATGCACCGCTGAACAAGACAGACTCAGAAAACAGATGCTACAAAGATTGAGTGGAGGGTCTCCACAGAATGCTTGTGGCAGTTAGGGGGTGTCCTGCTACTGTGTGATCTATTTTGTGAGTGTTGCAGGTTTGGTCAGGCCTAGGGAAAGGGGTCATGGACCGGGGTCTAGGTAGGAGATTCCCTGTGCATGTGTGGTTGGAATGACAGTCTGGTCAGAATGGTCACAAGACGGGCAGTGTCTAGTTTGGTACCAGGTAGCCTAGTGTCGACTTGGGCTCTGCTACAGCTCATTCTACGTAAACAAAGCCCCTGTCCTTCATGTCGGTTTCTCGTCTCTAATTGTGACCAGGCCCCATGGTAGCTGTGTGAGGTACACACAAGGGGCAGTCCTCAAATGAAACAGGTATGTGTGTGTGTGTAACCCAAGGGTGGGTCTGGAAAGTGTGGTGTGGGGGCACCTTTCACCATCAGGAAGCCGGGACCCAGGTGCACGAGGGACGAGGGTTCAGGCTCACCGGGTAGCTTCTTCCTGGAGGGTGGGGAGAGGCTTCGGGGTGGGGTGGCCCAAAAGGAGCCGGGTGGTCCTGGGACGGGGCGGGCCTGGTTGTGGGGTGGGGCCACGTTACCTCGGACACCTTATGGCCCCTGCCGTAGGTCTGGCTGCACTGCAGCAGCTGGGCTGCTAGATTGCAATCCTTCCTATAGAGCTCCTGGAAGACAAGAGACGGTGTTTGGCGCAGCTGCCCTAGGCCGGTGCCCAGAGCCAGCAGGGCAATGGAAAGGGAGAGCAAGAGCAGCCAGGGTGGCTGGTCCTGGCTGATCCTCGCCTGGGCTCCACACTGTCACGCTTTGACCTGCTCGTGTGTGGAGGGTGCCCAGTCAACACTAGGCCCTCCACAGGCTGGGGCAGCAACGGGTAGGCCCTTATCAGCTTGGAGCTCCCAAAAGTTAGCAGGCAGTTGGTCTACCAGGTCTGGGGTAGTTCCTGTACCTCCTGGAATCCCTCCAAGGATGACTTAGTGGGAGTGCTGGGCACAAGTCAGGGGGCAGAGATGAGCCCCACCCATCTTAGTCTCCTGCCTGTGGCTCAACACACTTCATGGTATTGCCTGGCCTCTGGGCTGGTTTCTCAGGCAGGGCTGGGGTCAGGGCAGGCCTGTGACCCCAGGTGCAAGTGGGACCGTGCTCAGCCTCATGAGCTGAAAACAGATGCAAACAGTAGGAAGGAGGGGGTGTTTCCCTGTGGAAATAGATCTCTGTTGCATGTGCCTGTGTTGGACTGTTCCTTCCTGCTCCAGAAACCGCAGCTGGCCTAGGATGCACCTGCATTGCCCAACGAGCCCAGGACTACTGCCTCAGCTCCACTAGGGACCAGTGTCCCGAGCTGCCCTCTCCCATGCCGCCTTTGCACCAGGCCTGCATGAGGGAGGGGAATTGGGTCTTCCAGCCCCTCTCAACTCCTCCCTGAACTCCCTAGGAACAGAGTTACAAGTCAGCCCCCATAAGCCCCCCACAGCAGCTCTCATGGGAACTAGAAGGCTGTAGGCACTGAACAGCCAGCCCAGGTCAGCCACAATGAATAGAGGATGTCACTTGGAGAAGCAGGTGACCTTGGAAAGTCACTGCACAAGAGAGCTAGGCCCCTTGCTTGAGTTGTCTTCTATTTGGGACCCCCCCCTGTCCCAGGAAGGGCCCAGGCCACCTGACCACTGAGTGACAAATCTTCAAATCCTAAGCGATACACTGGTGAGGCTAACAGAAGCCAGAGCTGGCACACTTGGGCACTTCACACTTCTAGCACACCACCCAGACTGTTGGCTGTCCAATTAACTGTACTTTCCCCATATGGACTTACAGTTCAAAAGGGCAGCCATTTTTCTTTCCTCAGACTGTGTTGGCCAGACTGTAATCTCAGAACCTCATATGATCTTGCAGTAAGGAGCAGAGGCTAATTAGTGTGTTCACAGTCAGCCCACAGAGACAGTGGGAGGGTGGCTGGCCATCTCAGGGCCCCCTTTGGATATCTACACAGCTGTGGTATGATACTGGGGCTGGCTGAAGTTAAAAGTCCTGAGTGGTCTGGGATCTCATGTGGGATAGAGGCCTCCTGAACCCCACCTTCAGTCCTTCCATCAGAGGTCTGTCCTTTCCCAGTTATCTGAAACACTGCTCCAAGACCTCACTGCCTAGCCCCTACCCTGCTCTGGAGCCAGGCCGGAGTCCCTTGAAATCAGAAAGGCCCTGCCTGCGATGGCTTCCTCTGGGAAGCCCCCAGAAAACACCTGCTCCATCCCTTCAGGCCCCAAATGTCCCCAGCACTCACGTTGTCCTCTGACAGCTTGTCAATGGTCACTTTAGCATCCAGCAGGTGGCTGTTGAGGGCAACAATCTCATGACTCATGGCACGCTTCTCTTCTTCATAGTGCTGGCCCTGGGCAGTGGGGAGGGAGTGGTCCATGGTTAGTACCATAGCCCAGCTGTTGGGTCAAGGCTTTTGTGAGCCCAATATGCTCAGAAAGATAACGGTACAAGGGTTAAGACTGAAGACTGACCCGGGGTTAATCCCGTCCCACCACTGACCAGCTGGACCAGCCTAAGCCAGTTCATTCCACTGAGCCTCTGTCACCTGCTCCTGGTGTCCTGTTTCGGAGGTGGGTGTGTGGCTTGTGTGAAGACAGGCAGGCACTGAACACCCAACACCAGACAAAACCAAGTGGGAACCTTCTCATCCTAATATAGGGGAAGTGCCAGAACCCCATGGCCGTTCTCTGCGCTGCCTGCAGAGGCTCAGCTGCCCTGGACCCCACCTCATTGTTATCCTGAGGGCACCTCCCACTTGGGAGTGAGCCTCAGGGGCCACTCAGTGAGAAATGCTAGAGCCTTACCATCCGGTACAGCTTGTCCTCCAGCTCTTGGTTGATCCTCTGGAGCGCCATGTAGTTGCTCTGAATCCTACAGCAGGAAGCAACGGGGTCATGACTTGCAAGGCCTGACCATCCTACAACCCTAGCGACCTCCCTGCTGTCATGCCCTTCCTAACATGGCTACCAGGCGCCTAAGCTCGTCCTACCAGCTCTACCTGATTCAGCGTCTGTGCTTAAGATCTCCCAGGCCATGGTTGAAGCCTCACTGTTCTGCCCACCCACAGTCGGGGTCCTTAGAGAGAACACGGGAAGGCATATCCACATGTCTCAGTCGCTGGCGGGGTGGTTGATGGGTTGCACACGTGAAGGAGACACGTGTGTGTGCGGCCCTGGGATGAGTGCTAGTGAGCAGGTGTGGTTCCACATGGGAAAGCAGGTAGAGATGGAGGATGAGCGTCGGACGGCTATTGCTGGTGGCTGGGGGACTGGGTACGGTGGCCCGTGTGTCCTCTAGACAACCTTTGCAGTATTATTTCTGTCTTGCCAACGGGAAAAGGGACACAAAAAGATGCTTAATACAGTTTAGTGGCAGAGCTGGGAGTTTAACCAAGATCTGGCTGCACTGCCCAAGTGTGGCTGGCTTCTGCACAGCTTGATAGTGACATTCAGAAGCCCAGAAGAATGGGGCCATTAGATGAGGGACAAAATGCCCCCAGGACAGCGCCAGCTGCTACTCTAAATATTTAAAACAAATTCAACCTCCAGCAGTCTGTGTCGCCTTTGTATTTCTAAGCTTGGGGATACCCACAAAAGGGTTTAGAAAAATAAATGCGCTGAAGGGAAATATGTTATGAATCGTCCTCCTCTCACTGCAGCCCGAGTCTCCAAGCCACTCAAGGATGAAGCTCCTACATTTACATCCATCTCGGGAGATTTGTGGCCAGTGGGGGGTGGGGTAGGGACTGGAAGTGGACCCTTCTGTGCCACCGCTGGCTTGTCCGAAGCCAGAGCAGATCACGTATGAGGGGCCGAGGAGCCAGGTCTCAAAGAGGATGCCAAAGGAGCCTGCCTCTAGCATCAGTGGCCCCAGGTTCAAGCCCTAGGTGGGCTGCCCTGCTCTTGGTTCTGCAGGCCAGACGTCTCCCAGAAGTGGGACTGGAATGATCCCTCTCCCCCACCCCGTGCCCCGCCCATCACAGCCCCATCCTCACTTGCGCAGTTTCTCCGTGACCTTGTCCAGCTCCTCCTGTGCACGTCTCAGCTCAATCTCCAGGTAGTGGCGCGTGGAGTCAAACTCGTTCTCCAGCTTCTCCAGCCTGTGGGTGGTGTAGGACAGCCGCTTGCGCAGCTCGCCCTTCTGCTCCTGCAGGGCGCTGCAAGACACCAGGCAGCTGTCCAGGCTGTGGCTCAGAGCATGGGGAAACTGAGGCCACACTGGCCAACCAGGCATGCCACGCGTGGGCATGTACTGTGCAGTCAACCCCACTAGGACTTGCCTGTGTGCACTCAGGCATATCCTCCCCTACCCCTGTACCCCCAAAGGCGGCTGTGCCAGCACTCAGGTCCCCTCAGAGATCAGGACTCTGTGCTGCCCCCTGGGAGCCCCAACACCCAAAAGGGTGGTAACTTCTAGTAGATTTGCTGTAAGGCAGGGGGCAGGAGGGAAGTTCAGGAACCATGTTGGAAATCTGGGGGTACGGGGTGGCAGGTGCCACCCTGACTTGAAATCCAGTGAGGGGTGTGGAGGGTGGGCAGGCGTGCCCGTCAGAGGTGTCCTCAACCCTGTGAGTAAGCCGCACGCATTGTAGGCACACCCCCAGGCACCCGTAGTAAGCATTCCTGGATTCCTGCCCAGGCCTAAGGGGAGGAGGCGGGTCCTCCTGAGAGTCAGTGCCCAAAAAGAGAATCCAGAGTAGCAAAGGAAACCCAGAAGCCAGGCACTGCTGCCCACACAGGCCCAGCTGCCAGGTGTTCTGCCACCCTGGCCAGCTGTCTCTAAGCCGCTCTCCTCCAGGCAGCCCGCCTAGCTGCACCCATTCACTCTAGGCAGCCACGACACAGGCTTTCCCTCCTTTGTGGGGTGGCAAGTTTCCTGGAGCACCCACTTTATCCAAAGCTGAGCTGCAGAGGCTCCTGACTGTAGGCCACAGACTACAGGAGGAGGTTGTGCCCTTGGGAATAGGCGAGGGCATTGTCTATCTGCTGGGGAGGCCCCTCAGCCTGACTCTTCATGCTCTGCCAGCCTCCAGGCCAAGCTCTTCAGAGGCTGCTGCTGCAGTGCCTTAGGTCCTGGCCTCCATCCTTGACCTTTCTAGGGCTTGTGAGGCAGCCTGCCCCACCTGCCTACAGACACCTATCTTTACTCAGTTTGGACCCTGCCCACCCTCTTAAGACTGAGCCAAAGTCACCGCCATCCTTCCTCTTCCTTGCTTTGAGAACCAACAAGAACAGACTCTACGGTTGCATTAGCTGCAGAGCTGGGACCCACCAAGACGCACTGCTCCACAAAGCCTTAGTTTACCCTGACCATCTAGTGGTCTTCTAGACATGGGGTGACTCACTTCTAGCCCTTTCTTCCCTGATCCCTCCAACACCCCACCCCCTCCAGCCATCGTAGCCACCTACCCCTCCAGGACAGTTGTTGGCCAACAGACCCCAGCTGCTAGGTCTCCAGACCGCTTCCTCCAGAGGTAACATCACCCAGGTCCCTGACCCGGACACACACCCTTCAGCCATTGCTGATGGCGCTCTCATGGTGTCTTCTCCCTTGCATCTGGTACCTTCCTACCTGCAGGCCTTTGTCTGGCCAGAACTGCCACTGCATCTTCTTGGGCTCCACCCACCGGTCTGTGTCCCATTGCCTTCAGCCTGCCCTCTGAACCCTGAACCCTGGAGAGAGCCATGGCAGCTCCTCCTTGGCTCTCCCTCACATCTGGCCATAACCTGGAGTACCCTGGTGGTTGCTTGGGAATTGCCATCATCTCCACCCAATGTCCTATTCTCCCACAGACTAACTGGATCTCTCTCAGGGCCTCAGTTTCCACACCTGTAAAGCAGAATGGGCTTTCCGTATACAGGGAGCACAGTTGTCGCTGGATACAAGACCTGACACACGGGATGGTGTGGGAGGTGTCACTCTGTGGAAGCAGGGCTGCAAGGCCACTCAGAGACCAGCTTAAGTTGTGGGCTCCTGTGCTCCTAACGGGCGAAAATTAGGCTGGACCGGTGTAGCAGCTGGGTCAGGGTTTCCTAAGACCCAGACATAACCTCTTCTTTTTGTCAGGGGGAGTGGGGTTTATTTCGGGTTACAGGCTACAGCCCATCAAATTGTGAAGGGAGACCATGGAATCAGCCCCTTAACATATGCAGGGGAAGGGGGCAGAGCTTCACCATCCCCAGTCGTAATGATGATGGCTTCTTTTTGGTCAGTATCCTGGTGAGGGAGGGGCAACTGCATTGTTGCACCTAGGTCCTTCTTCACCCACTGGAAGACCTCGGGCAGGCATTAGAGTGCTGACTCCATGCTTCAGTAGGGGCCTGAAGGAACTGCTTTCTTTCTATAAGGCCTCTCTGGCCACTCACAGGAGCCCCAAGATGGAGCTGGGCTGTAGGGACAAGGTATTGTGAGCCAAGAGACTTCTTCTGAGCCCATCTGTCCTGGGGAGCTGGACGCAGACATGGGACACAAGTCCTAGGACAGACAAAGAGACACCAAGGAGTGGGGGTGTACAAGAGGAGACAACAGGTGTGTTACCTGTCCCAGAGCGAGGGTAAGGACCTGGCCAGGCGGCCCTGCAGGACTCGGGGCTGCCCGAGGCACAAGGGCACCCAGGGGCTGTGCAGCCTGTGGGCGAAGAGGACAGAGCTGCTCAGAACATGTGGGGGTACAGCATGGGGCTGCAGCCCCGGGCTGAGGCCAAGAGACAAAGGATTACTGGGGGCAGCTGACAGCCCCACTGGTGGCTCCAAAGGCTCTGAGCTCATTGGTGACACTAAGTCCCCCGGGATAGGGTTCCTTGGTCACTAGCTGGGTTAATTTGGGGGTTCTCTTCCTATCCACAGGCCTGCATCCTCTATCTTAGCCTCAGGTATGTTGTAGGGAGAAAGTCTCCCTTCCTGCCTGCTCTAGATCTGTCACTCGTCAGTCCTGCACTGGGGCTGGGTTTCTGGTAGACTCTGTTCCTCATGTGCATGACTTACTTCCTGGTGGAAGGGACAGGCAGCTCCTCTCTACAACGGAGGTCACACTGGCTGATATAGAGAGAGCTACATGACTGTCCTTCAGGATTTGGGGTCTGCAGATGATAGGTATCACTTAATCCTCTGCTGGAACCTTGCTCATCTATCCCCCACTCCCTACCCCCGTGTCCCTGTGCTGGAGCCTGGCTGGACAGTGGGTGGGTATAGTAAAGGACACAGGTCTGGCTCAGTCCTCATCTGGCGCTGCCCTGCTGAAGGATAGTGCCACACATGTGTGCCTGTCACAGGGCCATGGCCCACCTGGAACCTTCCTGGTCAGGCCTGACACATGGACTTGAGAGGTCACATGGCAGGTATGCTTAGGGCTGAGGTAGGATCAGGCAGCCACCGAGGTGGGCCAGTTGCACCCACAGAAGCTCCTGGCTGGCCCAGAAACTAGAGGCTTCAGGCCAAGAGCTGTATAATCGCATTTTAAAAACCATCACAGAAGAAAAGAAACATTCAATTGTTACGCCCAGGTAGTGGAATGCCGGGCAATTGAAAAAAAAATGTATTCTTTTCTGGGTTTGTCATCTTTTCTATAGATGAAAAATCAGAAGAAAAACTTTTCTTAGGATCAAATTTTGTCACTGAAAAAAAGTTCTAACAGGCATGGAGGGATGAGCTGACAGCTGCGGGGGTCAGGGGTCGGGGCTGTAGAGGTTGAAGCAGGCTGGGCTGTCTCCCTTCCTGGCTTGGCCAAGGCCAATGACAGTGGCCATGGTCCTCCTCACAGCTGTTGCCAACAAGTTTCCAGTCAACAGCCCCTCTGCAGGGACCTCAGAAGCTTGGTTATCTCAGCACTAGATGATGTCTGGAACCTAAGGGGAAACTGAGGTCCAGGGAAGGGCTGAGTGTGTCTGGGCTGACAGGGGATACATGGTCTGATTCCACTCACTTATAGGGCAATTATTAAGCACCATTGGATATCTGCTTTTGTTCTGAGCCAGGAAACCCACGGAAACTGTCAGTGTAGCATCTGATACAGGAAACATTCTCCCAGATCTGAGGAAAGCCTCCAGGGATATGATGCCACAGTCCCAAGATCACCAAGTAAGTCTCAGGACTGAGATGTAGACCAGCCAGTTCCTCTCTTGCTCCCCATTCAGGAGAGACGACAGGAGGAAATGAGCTGGCCGTAGGTTGTACCCACCTCTAGCAGGGCCAGAGATTGCCCTAGCTCTGTCATCAAGGCTGCCTGGCCTGAGACCAAGCCACGAGGATGAGAAGAGCAGGTGATGCTTGGTACTGGGTGCCTCTCAGGAAGAGACAGGGTGGGGCTCTGTCATGTGCTACTTCCCAGCATGCCTGGAGCCCGTTTCCTCCCTCCTAGACATGGAAGCAAGCCTTTCTCCTAGGGGAAGGAATCTGTTGACACATGTCTGTCTTCCTCTCGGGGGAAATGCCTGACAAAGAAGGACCCTGGGGACCAGCAAGTGTCCTTGAGGGTAGAGAAAGCTCAGGACACCGAAGGAACAGCAAATATAGACCAGAGCCTCCTCACACAGCAATGAAGCAAGGGCTGTCACTACTCATCTTAGATGCAGACAGCCATAGCTACCTGTGGAGCTGCCTGTGCTCGCTCCAGCGTGCCCAGACAAAAAAGAAGAAAGGCTTTCTGCAGGGCCCCACAAAGCAGGGCCAGCTCTAGCCCATCTGCAGACTCTACACCACAGCTGAAGGCTCCTGAGCTAGCTGGGCCAGTCCTTTCCGCTGAGTTCTTTCCCAAGACTCACCGGCCACTGCCCTCACTTCTGCCAGCCCTGCCGCCCCACCCCACCCCACCTCACAATGTCCAGCCCCCCTCCTCTTTCTTGGGGTGCACAGCCCAATGCCTCTGCTGCCTCTGGGGATCTTCTTTCACCATGCTGGGCCACCTGTCCTTCAGGGGACTCATGCTCATGCTTGCCTAGTGACTGCCTTCTGGTCCACACGGTGATGGGGTAGGATTGGGCTTTTGGTCACCGTTCCAGGCTCAGTGGCGGGCCAGGGGTTGCTGGGGTCCTGCTTTGTGGGGCCCTGCAGAGAGCCCATGCTCAGTCTGTCTTCTCTCTAGCATGGCCCAGCCTGCGCTCAGCCTGTCTTCTCTCTAGCATGGCCCAGCCTGTGCTCAGCCTGTCTTCTCTCTAGCATA